AAAAAAAAAAAAAAAAAAAGACTGCACCTTACCGCTGAGCTGATCCGACATGACAGACGTGCAGAAAACTATCAGACGAAGCAAAACGTGTTTCTGAATGAAAGCAAAGCCTCTCACCAAATCGCTGTTTATGACGTTGCGCTGATTGTGTCAAAACTTCGGCTTTCATCCATCCGAGGGCAACAGCTAAACAGAAGCAGGCTTGTCAACTGCAGCAGAAAATAAATGATGGGGTTTGTATTAAAATAGCATCAAAACGCACGATCAGATTGTGTAAGGAAAGCCGAGAGCTTAAAATGATGAGGCATTCAGAACAAGCTCTCTCTGTATCTGTAGTTTGTCAGCAGAAAGAGAAGCTGGGAGGAAATAAAGTCCCTCTAAGACAGATGTCCTGTCCCTCTCAGATAAACGCTGCTGATGTCTCTTCAGTCTTCCTGCAGTGGACGTTACTGGGATGTGGAAACGTGTCAGAAATCTCTCACTAAACTGAATGATTACACTCAAAAAGAGTTCAAGACCACCGGTTCCCTCGACGTGTCTTCGGCCTTAGCGGAGACGGTGAGGACAGCCTCTGAGCCACATCGTAGACATTCAACCTATTTGTGTTCATGTCTTCACAGTCTGACGGCCACCACGCAAGCTCCTGCCCTGCCGAGGCACAGAGAGGCCACCTGGAAAATAAAAACCAGTCAGTGGCTGCAGATAAACGAGGACACGGTCACTGCTGCACCATCAGCATCACAGATGAAAAGATAATATGCAGATGAAAATGTTGATTTTATTGATGTAGAGGCTAACTGTAGCTCATCACGCTAAAGATCAACAAGAAGCTGCTTCAGCTGCAAAGACCATCAGAAAAACACTGACTCCTGTTTTAAAGGTCTGAAAGTCAACAAGAGTTATTATCCATCAGCAAACTATTACACAACAATCCACACAAGCATAGACCTTGTATAACCCTTGACCTTCAAGGAGCGCTGGCTCTAGTGTACGTCATTTTGTTAGTTTTCATTCATTCAACCTTTATTTAAACAAGTTAGTCTCACTGAGCCACGAGGACTCATTTACAAGAGACCTGAACAGTCTTAATAGAAGTGAAGCTAACTAACTCTTAACTTCCTAAACTTCTAGACTCCTAAATTCAGAGAATGAACTGGTGTCGAGTCCAGACAGAGAATGAATAACAAGCAGCCAAAGTCTAATTTAAACCTGGCAGTAAAATATCAGAATCAGCTTTATTGTCATTGCACAGAAGCACAACAAAATTACATTTCCGACAGCCGTCCAAAGAGAAAACAGACATGAGTAGACGGAGACGGCTGAGGTCGCAGCCTCGAGAGGAAGTGCTGCCCTATTCATTTAGCTAAGGAAAATGGAAACACGAGAAAAGAGTAGGTAAAAAAAATCCCATCTCAAACTGTGTCCTTAAAATAAACATTTTAATAGCATTGCACCCAACTCTGCTGTATCTTCTTCTGAAAAGCATTTAAAACTAGAATAACGTCATTTCCTGATAAAGTGCAGCGTAAACGCTCATTGCTGAATGATTTTTGCTGAAAGCTGCTGAAGAAGCTGAAACTGGTTGAAAAAGCTAAATCACTCAACTGTTAATGCGAGTTGAATTCAAACAACTGCTTAAAACGGGAAAATTAAGAAAGAGCTGAAATCAACTGAAAAGTAACTGCACAAATGGTGAAAATTGGAATAAATAAAGGAATACAGAATAAGGGGCTAAAATTAGCAGAAAAATATCTAAAAAAGTAGTTGTAAAAGCATTAAGAAGCTAAAATTAACAAAAAGAATCAGAACAAAGCTCAGCAGAAAGAAGCTGTCCAGATGACCTGACTGAGAATTATTGGATTTGATACCTGGATGATTGAGCATGAACTTTGTTGTTAAACAGAAATATAATTTAAAAAGGCTGAAATGTGCAGGAATGTAACCGAAAAAGGTCAAAATGAGCAGAAAATAGCTGAAAGGAGCTCAAGGAAGCTGAAATGAGCAGAATGAATCAGAAAGGAGCAGAAATATAACCAAAAGGCTGAAAGGAGCAGAAAGGAGCAGATAGAAGCTGAAACTAGCAAAAAAAAAAAATCTGGACTGAGCAGAAATATAGCTGAAAAATGCTGAAATGAGCAGAAAGAAGCTGAAAGGAGCAGAAATATAGCTGAAAAAGATCAAAATGAGCATAAAGAAGTGGAAAGGAGCAACTGAATGATTTATAAACATTTACACAATAAATAAATACAACGTAAATAAATACGGTCCAGAGAACAATTTAAACTCACGAGAGTCTGAAAAAGAAAAACAACATCAGTCGTTGATGGCGGTGCGTTTCAGCGAGTCCGTCATGTGAATTTAAAGGTACGCTGATGTTAAACCAGCAGCTTTGAGTGTTCATGAAAATAAATAAGTCAACATTCTGTACATTGTGTATATTAATATAAAGTATGGCCTTCGGTTGTCCTGCTTGTTTTTGTAGCCACTGCTTCGACATACAACCGTGCCTCAGGTTGAAAATGACCCAGCATCCCGTGCTGTCTGAGGAGGCTGATTGACAGAGTTGTGCTGAAACGAGCAGGAGAGTCCAGACAGACAACACACCACTGATATGCTCGTCTCTGACATCACCTGTAGGACACATTTAATGTTCTCACCATGCCCCTCACATCTCAGATGATCCCTCTGACGGCCTGCAGGCTCCTACAGTATTTGTACTGAATTTTACAAACACACACACACACCTCTCATGTTCGCAGCGTGGTGCACATCTCTAAAATGTCAGATTTGCTGCAACGGCTTGGAAATCCTCGGAGGATTTGCAGGAGATGGGGTGTAAATGGAAGTAGGCTCCTAAAAGCCTCTGAATGAGATCGTTCCAATTTTTAACAGTCTGCTCTGCCTCCCCCCGCTGCAGCTCCAAGGACAATACTGGCTCGGGGGAAACGCATATTTAAAGAAGAAAGAAAAGATGCCAAGAAGATGAGGAGGAGGAAGGTCTGCTGCGCTTTTTTAAACAACTTTAATTGTGACGATAACAGAAAATTGGAGACGATGAGGAAATTAAGCAATGAGAGCAGATATTTATTTTAGTTCTGTACCTGCTTCCACTCGTTTGTCTGAGGGTCGTAAGCCTCCACAGTGTTGAGATACACCTGCCCGTCATACCCACCCACGGCGTAGAGGCGGTCGCCAAGGAGACAAACACCCACAGCGTCTCTGCTGATGCTCATGGGGGCGACAGCCGTCCACACGTCTGTCTGAGGGTCATACCTGCAAACAAAACACTTATTAGTCTAACAAATGTAAATATTATAGTTTAGAAAATATACTTATTCTTTATGTTTATTTGTTGCTAAATGGAGATTAGTCTGGCAGGGGAAAAGAGCCACTCGATCGGCATGAAATTTTTATTTAAAATAAATTACTTTAAATTATTTAGCACTTGTGTGCAGCCCAAAGCTGGGGGAGAAGCTTCCTTCTGCAGCTGATCAGCTGATTTTTTTCCTGGAAACACAACATGCCCTTCCACTTCTATGCCGGTGACTCAAATTTACTTCCCCCTAAGACACAATGGTACATGCTCTATTCAACCTCTGCTCGACTGCCTGGCTGACATCAGGGACTGGATGGCTTTAAACTTCTTAAGTTTCAATGAAAAGAAGTCTGAAGTCATGTTGTTCCCTCCCAACGACACGATCACAAACCACTGCATCGACCTCTCCGCTCTAACCCTGTCAGAAAAACAAAGAGTCACTAATCTGGGAGTGATAATGGACCCTTCCCTGAAACTTAATCATGTAAACATGATTGTTAAATCATGTTTCTTCCAACTGAGGCGGCTGTCTAAACTGAAGCCCATATTGTCCAAAAATAACCTGGAGACAGTAATACATGCATTCATTACATCTAGGCTTGATTACTGCAATTCGCTCCTGTTTGGTATCAGTCAGACCTCCATTGCACGACTACAACTGGTCCAGAATGCGGCAGCCCGATTTTTAACCAGTACAGGCAAAAGAGAGCACATTACACCAGTTTTGGCCTCACTGCACTGGTTACCGGTTCACTTTCGAATCCAGTTCAAAATACTCATGTATGTCTACAAATCACTGAACAGTGTCGCCCCTCCTTATCTCTCTGATCTGCTACAACCGTATGTCCCACCACGTTCCCTGAGGTCAGCGGACCAGTTGCTCCTCACAGTTCCAGGAACTCGTCTTAAGCGCAGAGGTGACAGGGCCTTCACTGTACCAGGACCAAGACTTTGGAACGAGTTACCTCTGCTTGTCAGACAGGCCCCCTCCCTCTCGGTTTTCAAGTCCCGTTTAAAAACTCACTACTATTCAGTAGCTTTCAACACAAGATGATCTGTGTTTTGATCCTATATGCTCCACACTGGTTTGTCGTCATTATCTGCATCGTTTTTATGTCTATATTCTGATTTACCTCATTTTGTATTTTGCTTCGTGTGTTGTCTGTTGTTCTGCCTGTACAGCACTTTGGTTGGCCTTGTCGCTGTTTTAAGTGCTCTATAAATAAAATGGTATGGTATCTCCGTGCAGAACAGACAAGTGGGCATGGCCGAGAGTGCAGCTGGAGGCAGAGAGCTGAAATCATGACATTCTGTGCTCTTTTAGAGCGTTTAGAGTTTAGAAACATTGTTTAGAATATTGCAAGAGTGTGGGATGGGTTTAAAACACCTTATATACATATATACAAACCGGATTCCAAAAAAGTTGGGACACAAAACAAATTGTGAATAAAAACTGAATGCAATGATGTGGAGATGGCAAATGTCAATATTTTATTCGTAATATAACATAGATGACAGATCAAAAGTTTAATCTGAGTAAATGTAACACTTTAAAGGAAAAAATATGTTGATTCAAAATTTCAGTGTCAACAAATCCCAAAAAAGTTGGGACAAGTAGAGTCAGAGTCAGAGTTTCTTTATTGTCATTCGCACCTCATGTGGTACATGTGGTGGAGCGAAATTATGTACACGGGGTCCCAGTTACATCCAACAATAAAATGTCTAAGAAAAACAGTAATAACATCAAAGATATGAACTAAGAAAAACATCAACTAAATATACACTAAGCACTCATAACATAAAACATTGAACATCAGCACAAACATGAACATGAGTCTGTGAGCAGATGTGCACGCATGAACACATCAACATTGAAACAGATCAGCAGCAACATGAAACAGATCAGCAGCAACATGATATGGTTTTTCACAGTGATTATTCTAGTTAGAGATTCATGAGTCTAACAGCCTCAAGGTAGAAGCTGTTCCTCAGTCTAGTGGTTCTACACTTAATGCTCCTTAACCTCCTTCCTGAGGGGAGTGGGGCAAAAAGTGTGTGTGCTGGGTGGGTGGGGTCCTTCATGATGCAGGTGGCCCTCTTCCTGCATCTGGAGGTGTAGATGTCTGTGATGGTGGGGAGGCTGATTCCAACAGATTTCTGTGCAGCCTTCACCACTCTCTGCAAAGCTTTTCTTTCTGCAGCTGTGCAGCCTCCATGCCACACATTGATGCT